CTCTTGCGCTTCCTGCTCAGCCTGCGGGACATGATCGCCCGAGTAGCCCGACAGATTCGGTTGTGTCTAATACTAATTCATCGACTGTCCGGACTGTGCACCGGTTGCATGTTGGAAGTACAGACGGACAGAAGGCTGCCCCTGCGGTTGGCTCATCTAATACGAATGCAGTAGGGTTACTGGAGGCACCATCTAAGATGCGTGCAGAAGGTTCTCCTGAACAATCAGGAAGATCATCACCAATTTCACTTGCTGGAACTGCAAGAGGTGTGATCCGACCCCGTATAGCCTCCATGTTGCCTGTCTCGACCTATGGTACGTTTCAAACCATCATAACATCTGCTTGCATGATTTCTGATATGGTTTGTAGATGGGCCGGAGCCTGGCATCAACAATCTGCTCGAGAACATCTACTCGGACAACAATCGCGAGTTGCAGCATGACTTCGGTCCAAAGGTGCATGAAGGACCTATTCGTCGACGCAATACAGCCAGACAAAGCTTCATTACGCGCGATAGCAACAGTCGGCGAACGGAAGCCACTCTCATTGCTCATCTCCAATCTCACACTGACTGCGTCACCGGGTTGGCTGTATCTCCAGATCATGCGTTCTTTGTTTCATGTTCAGATGACATGTCTGTTAAAGTATGGGATACAGCACGGCTGGAACGCAGTGTGACGAGTAAACCTCGCCATACGTATAGCCAGCATCATGCGCGTGTCAAGAGCGTATGCATACTGGAGGGCGTGCATTGTTTTGCTAGTGCAGCGGAAGACGGAAGCTTGCATGTCATCAGGGTACACTGTCAACCAAAGTGGGTCTTTGCCGAAGTATGCAAAACTTCAGACCATTCGAGAATATCGAGTGGACTCGCCTGGCGAATATATCACATGCATGATTCACTACAATTCAGGTAAGACTATGTTTGGTTCCAGCTTGCTTGGTGAAACATATCTTATCAGATGTCGCCTCGAATCTTGTCTTTGCGACAACACACTCTGTCATCACCATCCTGGACTTGCGAACCATGCGAGTCTTACAACATATGCAAAATCCGCGTCATTTTGGACCCATAACTTGTATGTGTCTAGACCGCAAACGCACGTGGATCCTCGTGGGCACTTCTATGGGTGTGCTCTCACTCTGGGACCGACGTTTTGGCCTGCTTGTCAAGAGCTGGCAAGTTGGCAAAACTTCTTCAGGAAAATTTGCAAGAGTAAACCAATGTATCATCCATCCAACCAAAGGGAAAGGGACTTGGGTAATGGTTGCCATCGAGAGCTGGAAGGGTGGTCCGGAGTCTTCGCCCATAAGCCTTATCGAGGTCTGGGACATTAAAAATGGCGTTCTGGTGGAGAGCTATATGACAAGGACCACGTCTACGCCAACAGAGTGTGTTCCTGAACCTGTGGAGATTTCAGCAGTGGAGGCCTCGCAGAGCCCAGCTGCCGCCATTGCTGCTCTTGTCAATGCTAGGTACCCAGGTGGAACTGCGCACGCCAATGCGAGCAAGAACGGAGGACCATCTCATGGCCCTCAGCGTGACGAGGTGCTTCTGGCACCCTCGCATGATATTCGTGCAGTCGTAGCTGGTGTCGATTTTGGACATTCCGGATCGCATAGGTCAGAAATCGTGGATTTGTCCGTTGATCCCCCCGCGTCGAGCCGGAATTCTAGGGGGTTCATGTTGACAGGTTCGGAGGATAGAAGAATTAGACTGTGGGATCTCAGCAAACTTGAGCGAACATATGTGGTGGCTGGCCCAGAGTCAGAACATGACAGGCCATCGTACAGGTGAGAGACTACGTGTTCCACTAAAGATCTTTTGCTCACTATGACTCCAAGCACTGTGCGAGCCACAGATGGTTCGCCATACGTCAGTAACGTTGAGACATGGGCACATTCGTCCAGCTCAGCTAGTCAGAGCAACCGACCTCCGCAAAGGATGTCGATGATTACCCACAACCAACAGAACCTTCTCAGGTCACATCAGGATATCGTGACTTGTTTGGCTTGCATCGATTCCCCATTCCGAGGAGGCATTGTGAGTGCCGACAGAGCAGGGGTGATCAAAGTGTGGAGGGTCGGAAGCGACTCGTAGTGACCTGCGTATTTACTTTGAGTACTATATCTTGTTTGCTTGCTTCCGTACACTTTGCCATGCTATCGATTAGATTCTACTGTAGTACTTGTTAATTTCACCCGAAATTTCCGAAATCTGTCGCGAAGGGTGATTCGAAGAACGCACGCTTGATAGTATCTTGCCAAAAACAGACTTGGTCCTGACTCGGATGCTCAGATCTCTGACTCGGGCTCCCCCATATCTGACTCGTCGTAGCATCTACAGGTCACAAGTTAGCTTTCTTCGCGTTTATTCGACAGCCATGGCTACCCCAATAGCGTCTTCTTCGCAACCTGCCCAGATACCCGCCCTCGACGGACCACATGCTGGAAATGCAAAGAAACCAAAAGAGAAAAAGGACAAAACGGCGGCGCCAGCATCTCAGTATCCACTTGAAGTGAGCAATATTCGCAGATGTTCTTCAAACTTTGACTGACTTATGAGTAGCTCCAACCACTGCCAAGTTTTTTTGATCATCGCATCAAGATGTTCGAAGAACTGCACGCAAAATACAATGAATTTGTGAAAAGTATGCATGACATCTATCCCGAGATCAATTATCCTGATCACTGTCTCAGGTCAACCGCGGGAGGAGATCGTTATCACAATGCCTGATGGATCAGAGCGCAAGGGCACTAGTTGGGAAACTAGTCCCATGGATGTCGCAAAAGAAGTTTCAAAGAGTCTGTCAGAACGAATTGTGATCGCAAAGGTATGTGACTCCATTTCTTGATGTTTAGACTATGACACGATTCGCGCAGGTCAATGGTAATCTATGGGACTTAGAACGACCATTGGAGACTTCGTGCAAACTAGAATTATTAGACTTCGAGCACCCAGAAGGTATGCAGTGATATACACCGCCTTTGCACCTTGTGATTGATTATTGTAGGCAAGAGGGTCTTCTGGCATTCGTCGGCACATGTTTTGGGTGAAGCTGCTGAGCGGCATTACGGTTGCCACCTATGCATTGGCCCTCCAACGGACGATGGTTTCTTCTACGAGATGGCTATCGAGGACAGGTAATCGGTCATAACTAATACTGTAATGGTCAATCATTGACTTTAGCAGAGCTGTTACCAATGCAGATTACCCCGCTCTGGAGAAGCTTTCAGAAAGTGCTGTCAAGGACAAGCAGAAATTCGAACGCCTCATAGCGTCGAAAGAGGATTTGCTGAGAATGTTCAGTGTATGTCCTTCGAGATTCTCTAGAATACTCACTCGTCTAATATCATTATAGTACAACAAATACAAAAAGCACTTGATCGAGACCAAGATTCCAGACGGCACATCTACCACTGTGTATCGTTGTGGACCGATGATAGATCTCTGTATCGGACCTCATATACCACACACCGGCAAGATCAAGGCATTCATGGTTACTAAGGCAAATATTCAGTCCAGAATTCGCTCGATATTGCTCTGACACAGCTATTGTAGAACTCTGCATCATATTTCCTGGGTGATGCGAACAACGACTCATTGCAACGCATCTACGGTATCTCATTCCCAGATAAAAAGCAATTGACCGAGTACAAAGCATTCTTGGTCGAGGCTGCGAAACGGGATCACCGCAAGATCGCTCGGGAACAAGAACTATTCTTCTTTAATGACCTCAGTCCTGGAAGTTGCTTCTTCCTCCCTCATGGTACTCGAATCTATAACACTCTAATTGAGTTGATGAGGGTGCGTTCAAACCTGGAATATTAGGAGGTTTAACTGACATCAGCACAGTCCGAGTACTGGAAACGTGGATACCAAGAAGGTGAGTTCATAGATCATTCGAACGACATCTGGTGCTAACTAATGGGTCAGTCATCTCTCCAAACATGTACAACTCGAAGTTATGGGAGACTTCTGGGCACTGGCAAAATTACAAGGACGATATGTTCACCCTTGACGTGGAGAAAGAGAAGTGGGCATTGAAACCTATGAACTGCCCAGGTCACTGCCTCATCTTTGACTCCCGGGACCGGAGTTACAAGGAACTTCCCATTCGCATGGCTGAATTTGGTATCATACACCGAAACGAAGCTTCTGGCGCTCTCACTGGTCTCACTCGTGTTCGGCGGTTCGTGCAGGATGACACGCACGTGTTCTGCTTGCCCTCTCAGATAGAAGATGAGATCGCTGCACTATTCGATTTCATGGAACACATCTATGGCCTTTTTGGTTTTGAGTTCCACCTTGAGCTATCCACTCGCCCCGACAATTATCTCGGCGCCATCGAGACTTGGAACGCTGCGGAAGAGGTAGGTTTCCCTTCACGGCGCACCATAAGTGGTACACTTACCATCTCGGATGCATAGCAACTCACCAAAGCACTCGATAAGCAATATCCAGGCCAATGGCAAATCAACCCTGGCGATGGTGCATTCTACGGCCCCAAGATCGACATCACCATCCGTGATGCCCTCCGCCGATCGTTCCAGTGTGCCACCATACAGCTCGATTTCCAACTCCCTGAGCGATTCGACTTGAAGTACCGCTCCGCGGACGAAATGCCCAACACTGATAAGCCCCCTTCACGTCCTGTCATGATTCATCGTGCGATTTTGGGAAGCTTAGAGCGCTTCATTGCGATCATAACGGAGCACTTTGCAGGAAAATGGTGAATCCATTCTCTATCTGTCTTCTTTGATACTTGACTCATAACGAGTCAAGGCCATTCTGGCTTTCACCTCGTCAAGTACTTGTTATACCTGTTGCTGTGCCATACGTGAGTATACTCTAATAGAACATGACAATCCAATGCTGACATCTCCACAGAAAGAATATGCCCAAGAGATAGCCACTCGTCTAACCGATCTGGGTCTTTTCGCTGACGTTGACAACGGAGCAGATACTCTGCCGAAGAAGATCCGCAATGGTGAAATTGCACAATACAACTTCATCCTCGGTAAGAAAACCTTTTTTTACATTGCATTGTCCTGCTAGACATAGCATATTCACACAACCTAGTGGTCGGACAGGAAGAACTTGATAGCCGTTCGGTTAACGTACGGAACCGCGACGACGTAGGCACCAAATCCAAAGGCGAGATGGCGCCAATTGTAGAGATTGAGCAAAAACTGTTGGCGCTGAAGAAGTCACGGAGTCTTGCAAACAAGTTGATGTAATAGTGAACATGTAGTAAATCTGGCAGATAGGTACTTGATCTGATGCGTAAAGAATGCGAAAGGGCCTCGACCGGCGGTCACATCGGATAGACACAAGCTGTGGCACAGCATATATAGAACAAGGCACTATTTTTAGAATACTAAGCTCTGGGTTCCAAAGAGTTCCAGTGTAAGTCCAGACATACATCCACTATGTTGAGATACCTCCCAAAAATTGATTGCGCTTTCGCCCGGAGCCGGTAAGTTAAGATGACCAAATAAGACTCATATCAAACATACCAAGTTCTGGATTGCTTCTCGCTCGGAAGGTGGCAAGCCATTGATCTGGTCTGGAGTTAAGCTGAGTACCTGCATTAGCATTTGCTGTATATCCAGGCACGTGAGTTAAATATATATATATCAGGCAAGGCGGATCAGACCGACCCTTTGAGCCGGATCAATGTTTAGGTCGGGCATGGGGGCCGAGTGGGGCGGGGGGACTGCGTGTTGTGGAGGCCGATACCAAGATTGTTGTGGCGGTGGAGCTGGCATGTGCGACGGGGGCTGTTGATGCGGGAACATGCTTGCTGGAGCAGTTGACGCGGGTGGAGGGCCAGACATTGGCGGAGGCATGTGAGGTTGAGGCTGGTGTATGGGTGGAGACTGCTGGTATTGCATTTGGTGGTGGGGCTGTTGAGGAATTCCTGGACCTGGGGCAGCACCACTACCCGCAGTTGCTTGTAACATGCGCTGTGCAATTGCCGTTTTGCTCGATGGTCACTCCACACCAAAATTATATGAACATACCTGGAGAACACTCTGGTCTACTATTTTGTTCAGTAGCAATGCTTGGAACAATGCATACGCATACTGCGGATGCGCAACAAGTAGTGCTCTTGCTTGATCCGGGTGGGTGATTACAAAAGCCTACACAAACAAGATCCGTGCACACATCATTAATCGTGTCACTCGCCGGTGCGAACCACAGCACACCTTCATCTGGGCAAGCACTTCGACTAACTGAGCTGGGCTCATAGTTGCAAGTGTCTGGCTGATGGTATCTAATGCAGTCGATCCAGGAGTTATGGGCACACCGGGTGGCAAACTTGACAAGAATGAATTTGGGTCTTGAGATTTGGGTTGATCACGAATATTATCATATCGGTCGCGGTCGCGATCTTGCTCACGGTGCTCACGCCAGCGGCCTCTTGGATCACTCCCATCGAGCAACTCGCCTCGCACAGTAGTTTTGCCTTCGAGGAAGGGATCGGAGTCGGCGAGATCAATTCGTAAAGGGCGACCACCAACATCGGCATTATTGAGGTTCCGCACAGCAGATGCAGCTGTTTCATGATCTTCAAGGCAAAACGCGAAAACACAAGCCGATACGAGTAACACGGAATGCCAAGGTGAATCGAGAGAAGCACAAATAGGCGTGATTGCGGAAAAGAGCCGGTTTGAAGTCAGACATGCATCGAGGTGTACGGAAAAGAAAAATAAATTGGATGTACCAGCAAATTCACAGAAGCCATAACCTCTAGGTTTTCCTGTCTCTCTGTCAAAGACTAGTCTAAAAAAAGGACGTGAGTTTATGTACAGGCTAGGGAGAAAGTCGAGACGGACCTGAAACCCACAACTTGACCGACCGACTTAAAGACGTCGATGAGCTGTTCCTGTGGAAAGGTTCTGTCGGAATGGTATTGTATGGAGGATAAATGACTTTCCTCCCCCATGTTGTAGGGGACATTTCCCACTGTAAGGAAGAACTTATTAGTGGAATGAATGCAACCTTTCAGTGTACACCTACCGAAAACGACCTTACTCATTTCGAGACTCGAAGAAAGCAATGAAGCTTGAAGATTTGAGATGCTACCAGAACGGTGTCGAAAGTTTGTGTTTAAGCGCTCACGATAATTTCGGACAAGGGATGTGACATTGTGACATTTCTGTATTTGTATTTGTAATATACCGAGTCGGGAGACGGAAAGACACGGTCGACGATGCGGCATAGCCCATGGCGGCCTGTGTCCGTCCGATCTCATGTCAATGACACTGAGTCACTAAACAGGCTGATTCATATACTCTCGGAGTCCGACCTGAGCAACAACAAGGCCGAGTCTTTGTCCCGACGGATGAGTATAAGGCGATGCCACGACTTCAAGTTGTTGCCAGCTCTGTATACGAGTCATGGTGAGAGTCATTGTCTTACCGGGACCAGTGATGGACATATGGACCTTGATGGACCTCATTCACGGATCACTCCAAACTTTAATCGGGGAACGTTCTCTCGAGGACTCGTCGAAACTGACTCGATGCTGTGTTAGATCTGCGGACATAGCCTTGTCCACACATTGGTACTGCAGGTGCACAGCTACTTCAGGTTGGCGCTTGATGCATGACGCAGATGCCGATCTCTCGGCATCCTCCGACGAGACCACATATAAAAACTCGAGCGACTCAGACTCCAACATCTGACTGACAACAACAAATCGTTCGCTACGTACATGACCGTCACCACTTCTACCCATCACAAACTGTCTCACTCTCGAAACACCGACGAACGATTCCAAGCCTTGGATCGCGCCTTGGCAAGGAGATATGTCGTGCGTCTACTCCAAGAACGAAGATTGCGTAGCAATCAAGAGCAATCTCAGGGCGATATATTATTCAGACCAAGGTGATTGCGTTCTACATTGATCACTCGAAACCATTTTTACCATATATTTAGAGTGGAAATATGTGATAACCCCTCTTCGTCACGTATCACGGCCACGCTTGAACTTCCTGGCATGAAAGCAGACGATGTGCGGGTCACACTCGAACGCGATAACCTTCTAGCTATATCAGGCGAACGCGTGTCGAAAGCACTTTCTGACCAGTCCGCGTCTGTTAGTTTTCCTGTGAGGGAGATCAAGTATGGAAAGTTTCTTCGTACACTGGATGTTCCATCCGGTACAATGGTGAGTTCATCGTGGATCTGGGCTTCTTCATTAATTTCTGAACCTATTGCTCCAGATGAGTACCATATCAGCGGCAATGAGCGATGGCATGCTCCTTATATCTTGGCCTCGTTCTCCTCCGGGCGCCAGAACGCGTTCTCCGCAGTGATCTTTCGGCCACGCTGTAGCATCATGTTCTACCTTATCCGTTCTTCTGGACTACACTCCCAACTCCTACATTATGATTTGTATGCTATGCCCAATCTATAATTCTAGACGTTTTTCTGATTTATACACGGTATAGGGGTTAATCGTTACCATAGATATCTTTCGCTCATCAGTTTCTTGCTGCAGTTTTGATAGCCGTCCTATCATATTTGTTTTACTTGTAGCATACACGCGTACCTAGAGTCATCGTTCTTGTGTCGTGTCATAACACTGGATGGGCGCTTTCCGTGCTTATCAGTGGCAGAGGCAGATTCACACTAAATAATATGTATCACTATCAGTACAATTTCCAACTTCTTCCAATTTGAGAGAACAATGCAAATGTATGGGACGAGTCACTACACTGCTTAATTTCACAAGACTGCGCTTTGTTCATTAAAATGCACATCTGACAGACTCCGTCCCAGGTCTTTCCATAATCACCACTCGAGTCTTACAGATCCTGCATCTGGACCATCCGGACTGGGTTGAATCCAATGTACTGCTCCCAACCAACTTGTCTAGCTTATAGGTATTATTGCCGGTGTCGGAAGCGAATGCAAATTTGGCAGCGTATGGCGTAAATGTCGTACAATCATTGAAACTAAAATATCATATCTTTGAGCCTGTGCTTTGAGTCAGAACGAATTACAATCAGATTCCTACCCGATGTCAGTGCCATTAAACACTATCGAGTTCTCCGTAGCATGTGCTACGGTACCACTCGTTGAGGCGGGTGTGTTGCACCGACAAGTCCAAGGACTAGAATAGAATGAAGAGGGGATGCCGATAGCCTGACGCTGACGCGTACAAACCGAGCGTTATTAGCATAGCCCAAGGAACGGAACCATAGCAGTGAGCAGATTATACACCGCATGTTCGCTTGTGACCACCTGCAACCGCTGACTCGAACAGTCTACTGGATCATCCGGCGAGTCATAGCCAAAAGAACTTCCGAACGTCTGTGTCTGTCAGCAATGTGATAATTCCCCTAAGTGCTACAGAGATGATCGCTCCTCCAAAACGAGCCTCGTTGGATGTTTTGCTATAGAATTTTTGTTATTGATAGGAGGAGTTCGGCACCGAAATGACTCGAAATACCCAACTATAGGTGAGACATGAGAACGAACTCATCATGACTGCTGAAACCTTGCTGTAGGGTATCAAGTAACCAGCACGCCACGTAAGCGGGACGGAATGAATTATACAACGTGGAATTGCCTCCCGCAAGCTGCGGAAATCAGTGCTTCGCGTAAAGTGGGCAGGACGCACAATTTTCCCTGGACTGCAATATCCTGTGCCCGCGCAAGCACGCTGATACTTGCATCACGGAGGGGAGCTCGTTCCACGCCCTGCATACGATACGCAGTATTGGAGTTGTTGCTGGGCGCTTGGCGCTCATTCGGGCGAGCGCTTAACATACTTGCTGTTACGGCGCTCAAGCGCTCAGGGGTGGAAAGAGGCGCTCTGAAGACGTTCTGCGCGATAGCGCCAAGGCAACAGCTTTTAGCCCTCGTTGGCATGTGCAGCTTCACAGAGCTACCGTTGCTCGCCACTTGTTGGTCACCAGTGAATTTGCCAATATATGACTCGACCTTCATAATGGAACCCCACATTGAAGTCGCCGTTATAATTATGGGGTCGGTGAACTCGGGCATGGCTAGAAAGCCGAAATGGTAAGACACAAAATAACATTCGGAATTTGATCGATCCCGTCATCGTGAGAATACAACCTGTAATTGTCCTTGTCACCAACTCTCACTAACTCCGCCATAAGCACAGACACCCCATAATATTAGAGTGCAAACTTACACATCTAACGCCTCCATGGTGAGTAAATGTTGACTTTTAAATTCATCTGATCCTGTTCCTCCCGCATCCACAACTAGGCCGTGAAAAGAACGTTGAAGGTAATCACACATACAACCGTGACCCGTCGTTCCCCGGATGGCAAAGTTTGAGTGATAGGCTGTGTGCTCCCCCGTTCAAGTCGTTCTCTTCATGCACGTGCGTAATGCTTGGACGGACAGTTGCAAATCGCCTAGAGGGGGCTCGGCATATAGCAGTGTCCCAATACGGTAGGCCACCATATTTAGGGGCGTCTGTTTCCCGAGAAAGTCGCATACGCCAGATCGACTGTGGGCAACAGAGATCTTGTGCAAGCGCTTGAACAAATCAAGGTTCAAATGTTCGGAACCTTGCGCTAAGCATCGTGATCGGAGAGTCATCCGCCTTTGGGTTTGTAGACCACTTTCTGTGGAATGGTCCACTGTTCCGCGGGAGTCACTAACTCACTAGGACAAGAGCAGCCATCGAATCTGGTATGTAAGGCCCATTCATACGCATGGTGCATGACACAGGGTTTACTCATACTTTGAAGATCGTTTCAGGAACACCGAGGATAGCGAGATATCACCCCGCTTTCAACGGGACATTACGATATGTGCCAGGACATTAATATCTCGAAGGGATGACGAAGAAGTTGATAAGGCGGCAAGAGAGTCAGCAGAACAACAACCATTGAATGTAACATTTGCAACTACCTCTCACATATCATCTCCGCGGACTGCCATGGCACCACGAGCACCTTCCTCTCCGCTCAAGCAAGTACATCGCCAAGGAATCCAATATCATCTCACTTCGTCTTCCACCAGAAATCCCCGCGCCCAATGCTTGGCGCTGGACTCCAAAGACATCATCCGCTCCTTCGTTAAACTCACCTCATTCCCGAAGAAACCCCAATCATCAAAATATTGATACTGGACCTTCGCCCGCAACCCATTGACCTCAACAAACACCCGCACCGATGGGGAAAGCTCCCCTCACGGCGCCCTCGTTGTCCCCATCCGGAAGGGCAGTGCGTCATTCTCGTTCGGCTGCTTTCAGACGCGTAGTACGCGTCCAAACGTACAATATGTGAGTGTCTTGGCGCTGTTCATTGGGAAACTACAGTTACACCGTGCTCACCGTATCAAGGACTTCAACCAATGGAGACCCACAACCTTCCTTCTCCAACTCCAACTGGCTGGACACTGACATCATATATACATAATGATAGAAGTAGGAAGGTTTAGCTTGCTGTAATGTAGGAACACATTAAAAACGAATATACCCAATCAGTACTATGTAAGTTCGAATCAACCACATCGCATGGGACAGGTACAATCACGAACCGATTAACGAGCTTGTGGGCCAAAATGGGATAAGTATCCTAGGGGAACAGATGCATCTACGAAGCTGGACCACCTGTCTTCCAACATCAAATCATTTTGCTGTCCTTGTTGGGGACTGCAGAGCGAGGAATTGCACGGAGAATGGCAGTATAATGCTCCAGAAATCTCCCGCTGAAGTGACCCTAACCCAGGCTGCTCGAGCGTCCCTTCCCCAAGTCCATACTCCTGAACCTCAGGGATGCTGATAAGATGCGACTGATAAACGTTTTGTTGGTTTGAGGAAACGTTTTGAGTTGCTGTGGAATTTGCAAGCTGGATTTGATGTTTGGGAGACCACGAAACTCGCTTAAAATGTTTTGTTACTAGCACCGTCCGACCGCCAAACACCTCTAATTCGTCAGGTTCGTCCTCTGATTCAGAAGGCCTTGGAGGTAGTTTATGGCTGATGTGTTGAAGGGGAGCCATCTTCGCGTCAATCGCTTTTTGATGAAGCCGAAGTAAGATTGGCTTCAGAGGCATGGTAGTGAGCTCTGGTAACTGACAGATACCATCATTCAAAACTCACCAGCGCCCTTTTGGCACGGCTACAAGTCTGTGCTGCCTCGTAATATAACGAGCACGCCTTTTCTAAATGCTCCAATGGGTCCGGGTCTAGTTTGATGCCAAGTTTTCGGATGGCGACGGTGCCAACGACAACCTCGACAAATTACGTCAACACAACCCGCTAAATAAAACATAAATTCGCGTACTGCTGCTGAAAATAAGTGGGACCATATTCGCCACATTCGGGAGCATATCACTGGCTGTAGCTTGAATTGGTTGATAGTCGATGTGACCAGTGCACTGGCACATTGGTAGGCGACGATGAATGATCGGCCTACAGGGCTTCTAAGTGGATCTGAGGGAAACTCTCCCATGGCCTGTGCAAAGAAACCTCTGTGCAAGAACATGAGCGCTTCGCACTTCAAGTCAGTCAATAGGAATCTGTGAAACCACCACGACACGCACTGAGATCTCTGTAAGATGTTAGAACAAAAGCAACCATCTCTAAGGGCACACGGTCAGGTTGTGTCGAATCCGCAGATACAGGCATAGAAAATTCCCGTATTTTGCGATCCAACTCGAGGACGGTTTGGTAGTTGGGTGGCTTTACAGCCTGAGTGGCTTCAACGACCGGGGCTAGACATTCCATTGTGTAATAAGAATTCCAACTGCCAACTTGCGGTACATTAGAACTCTTTCCCATGCAATGGCGAAACAACCTTACATGCAGTGGGGATTTCTCCCAACCGGTACGTAGCCTCCTCAAAGTCACTCGGAATCTTGCAGTCGACGATGGCTGGCATAATCACGGGGGGGCGTCCAGTAGCCAGGCTTTGCCAGAGAGATTGAGAGAAGAGAGCCCAGAAATATGAACGGTGTTCGTAGGCTTCTCTCCCCTTAAAACCCCATCGTGAAGGATCCTTATCTGCATGGTAACATTAGCCACGTATCAATGGTTGCCTTGCGACATAACATACGGAACCCAATCTAATGATGCTCGTTAGAGGTCTGTCTGATGATTGCGACACCTGTATCTCGAAACGAACCTGGAGTGCGGCTTGACTAGCAAGGTTGAGACAGGAGTAACAAAGCTCCGTGTTGCTTTCGATGCCACTCATGCCGTAGTACATACTCATAAGATGCAATGACTTAATTGTAGCCATAGACCGCTCCGTGAATACAGATTGCAAACACAAGGCAGCGCGCGCCACTCTTTGATAGTGACGAGCTTCGGCATTATACGGGGGAAGGTCGGGATCAACCAAAGCTCCGAGCGCTAGTGTACTGAATAGCAAGGCCAGGTCGTGTGGACCATAAGGTGGGGGCTCCAATGAATGTAGCTCCGTTCGGTATATCAACGGGATGAGATGGCCAATGATGTGCTGTCGCGAAACTATAGGAAACACCCATGAGAGAGACTGTAGGAAAGTTTCACATAACGAAATAGCGCGTTGCATTCCTGGTAGGTAGGAGTTCATCATCTCAAGAAAGTGTCGGAAGTGTTTTTTGGGGATCCCCGAGGGAGTGAAAGGGAAAACCCGATCGAGGTTGCTGATCCGAGGGTCCAGGTAATCGACCTCGATTTCATGTGTCTCGGTCGATGGTGACAAAGTATCAGGGTCACACTGTGTGGTCATTGTTGGCTATGCGCTCTGGAAAGGTGAATAAGACAAACCAGCAATAAAGTCTAAGGCTCAAGTAAGTGCCACCGCGTGTCATGGGCAAAATGTCTAGTCCGCACCTCAGAACCTCCGGAAGGTCCGAAGAAACAAGCAGCATCAGATTGTGGATTGCCATCAAGGTGCAAAGAGCCTAGGGCATTTATCAGACTATGTGCCGACGTAGATGTGGCGTCGACGCTGCTCCCGCTATCAGCCTCTTCAGTTGTCCATATTTTGGTCAGCAATGGGTGTGGCTGAGTGGAAGTATTGACCTGCAGGATTGCAAGAGCGTCCTCGAGTGAGCGCATTCGCTCTTCGAGCTTTGCGGCCTTTTGACGTAGATATTCTTCGGCAACACCGACGAAGCTGACGGAGTAAATGCCATCTTCAGATTTTGATGCACTTGTGCATGCGGCAGCACTATGCTTACCGGCTACCCTTTCCTGGAGGCATAGTGCCTACAATGCATCATCCGTATGGAATGTTTGGATGTTCCACGTCATGAATGAATTCTTACCATTGGGGCAAAGCATGCTGCATCCTCTTTTGACGCAAGTAGAGCATGGCACTATATGGGAACGATCAGTCCGATGTCCAGGACTACTTTAAAGTGAAAGATTTACCTTGCCTGTCACATCGGGCTTTCAGTCTGATGGGTGATGATGAAAAGTGAATAACACGACAAAAAGATGGATGTGATGAAAAACCGACCTACGACACTCCGCGCAAGCTATCTCTCCTCTTGTTCGTTGTCTTTCTTTGCTGCTCATCACAGAATTGAATTGAAACCAGTACTGGTAGCGGAGTTTTCACTAGCATTAGCACCCTATATTTGAATGTCGCGGTTTAAATGAGATATCAGATCCTCGGAACTCGGATGAAGAGAAATATTAATAATAGAATCAGTTTCTTGCCAAATTCAAAACGGTGACCTGAAATCGAAGATCGCTATTGAGTTCCCGGATGTTGTAATTATGGCATGAAGGGATAGAGTTCGTATGCCTTCCGGTAAATCATTTCAGCAGCTGGTGGCATGATGAAAGTTTCTTCCACACTAGTACTATTGTGATTCAATGGCAAACGTACACTTGGGCTATCAAGATCTACCACTAGAAGTCTTGATGCACAGGAGCAGCACTACTACTACTAGTAGGTAGTATCACCGAAATCAACATCGCGGTTATTACCGAGCTTCAAGTTTCCTGGACAGGTCGAAACACGCATGGTCCTCATGGACAAGAATGGCTCCGCTCTCCACTCTCTTCGCTGGCACCATCGGATTGGCGAATACAAGTGACTACCCCCCTGGAGGTACAGGCACTCAGTAAGATTGGTCCGCTCCTGCCTCCTTGATGGATTCATAGTGCTATATTGAGAATGCGGCCATGCATAACACACGAGGTCTGATATCCCTGATGCTGATAAATTATTAATCGCTTTCAACCTATCCGCTTATGACAGCCGATAATGATGCTCTTACCGCCAAGACCTCGGAGGGGTACAAGTCCCGACTCGGTAGAATACGTGCGGTGTTAATCTTCGAAATGTCCAGAACGATGTTTCTTGTTATGTCGCTCGCAGGTATGTTCTTTAACCCACTCATACCCACTCAACTATGAATTGAGCGTAGCGCTACATTGCCACAGGGAATGTTCGCGCGACGCGCATCTTCTGGCGGTCGTGCCACTCCCTCAATTACGATCACTGACACCATGTAAAAATTTGAAGTCAAAGCTTAAACATGTTTTTGGACTTATCTTTACACACTCCTTACTCCAAACGAGCTGAAATTCCGGGGGCTGTGTTTGCGCGTCCGAGCCCTCCACGGACTAAAGGGAGCCTATGTGCATAGAGACCAATATTGAGCGCTGTTGGTGGTTGACAAACGGAGTAAAACCAAACCGAAACCTTCTGTCAGTGGATTGCCGGGCACGGTTGTTGGCGCTGATCAAGTTTTTGGCCATCATGAGTTGACAGCGAGTCGGCAACAGCCGAATTATATAAGTATATTATCTCAGTCATGGTTGAAGACTGCTAGGTACCCTAGTATAGAAAAATCATATGATATCGACGAGTTAGGATCGTGTAGTATAGCACGGGAAAATATCGGCTCACATGTAGAAGACATTGTCATATTCGCGTGCGGGGAGGTCGACGGAATTGGCACAATGGATCGTCAGTCTGATCCAACATGACAATTACTCCGCTTACTACCTGCCGGCTGACTGTCCAAAGGTCGTGCAGAACTTTGTAAGAAATTTGCAATTTGAAGGACCAATTGAGGCCTGCTAGAGTCCACTAGGGTCCACATGGTTTCTAATGTGAGACGTCAGCACCTGATTTGAAAGGGTTGCATGTGGGTATGGTGACTTGGTCTCGCCGTCACTGAAGAACTTTGTAACGAATTTGCAATTTCAGCCATAAATATATAATAACAGTTTATGACCGAGTTGGAGATAGGAGATAAGGATAAGTCACGTTCTTGGAACAATGCCATCTGTTACCTCGTCTACTACCGCACTGCTTACTAGTATCAATCAAAAAATTTCGCTAGCGTGACTCTCGAGGAGCATCCTTAAAGCCAACGTAAGGCAATGAGTATAGTAAGCAATTAATACTGCTGTGGCGGCGGCTAGTAAGGTGATGGCTCATGTCCTAGCTTGCCGCATGGTAAACTATCAAGCATTATCTAGGTTCGATCCCGGAGCTTCAAATCTCTTCCTTATTAATATATCCGTGCAGGGTGAAAGCTCTCGGCGGGAGGTGATCTTCGCGGGAACATAAGCGCCATCGAGTTACTGTTGAGTAACTGTATGATACATATTATTCAAATGGTCGTATCCACAGCCGAAATGAAAGTTATTCAAGTTGCCTAGTTGAAGGAAGTTGGGTGGAATCATAATGCGCTCATTGAAATGAGCGGCGCGGTGTTATGGTTCAGATAGTTTCACTATCAGTGATGCATGCATGGATCCTCCAGGGAAATTTGATTGAATCGAATTTCCGCGCTCGCAACGATGATCGCCCAGCGAGGGGTCTTCATTGCCAATACGTTGGGTTCGAGAGAAACATGACAAATAATTGTCGACGCCAACGATTTAATCACATACAATGGCGATCCGGGTGTTGCTACAAGTTGCTGTGTGAGGAAAATTTATACTCCCGGAGAGCGGCGCATGTATCGGCATACCAGGTCATTCACCTTAAACATCAATTATTGCCCACCCAGACAATTCGCTTCCATTTCTAGAAAACCCTTGTGTGGTATCAAAAATCAGAGAGCAGTAAACAGAGCGAGCGTACATCTCGAGCGTCACCTGTTGCGCAAGGCAGACTGTTGTTCCTGTCTGTGCTTCAGTTTGCACTATCATCAGCACAGCCCAGCGACTTACTTTAAGTTGCTTAGACAGCAACAGAGGAAGGCTAGCCTTGAATTGGCAAAGTGGATACCGCAGTACCAAATGCGAGGCTTTCACAAGCATGGACTGCACACCCTGGATGACCAGATAGAACGAAAATAGGTCTGTCTTCTTTATTATGCTGACTGTCTAAAGGATGAGCGATGAAATTCGGAATGTCCTCTAGAACAAAACAGTAAATTTCTTGTTTTTTTTTTGACTTGAGATGTGCTGATATTGTTGATCAGCATGTGATAGATATCGAATCATTTTGGCTTTATAGATGACACTGATTGGATGGCAAGAACCTCGCCATAGAAAATTCAGCGTTACGACAACGATGACCGGAAAAACTTAAAACCGCACACATGTGTAAGGCGATGAATTAGATGACAAGCAGTCTCTTGGGAAGACGGAAAGACCTAGAACTGCGCACATGCGTAAGGTAAGTTACAGCCTAGATGACAAGTAGTAACTTACGAGTTTCTTGCGGGGATAGATTTACAGCGATGTAGGATGTATCTGGTCAAGTACCTTCACTAAGTCCACGTTCTGCTGCTAGACCCAACCTTATCTTATCAGATATGGGTGTTGCGGGCGCTAAATGAACGTGAGTTCTTGCAGGCGTCAGAGGTGAATATGCGACATGTCGAACGGGGGCAGTGTGCATAAGTTACGAGCATGGTAAACGTACACCGACATTCGAGGAGGTAGCCGCATCCTGAACAGGGACTTTGACCCACAACAAATCGTAACGAACCGGAGCTATGATACATCTTGGCGATTGCCACGGAGGCTAATGGGTTATTAGTATTATTAGCAGTCCTGGTGAATGGATGAGTTTGTTGGATTCGCTGTGAGGAGGGGATCAGATCGTGATGAAGGACAAGGTTAATTGCACGAACGACTCGAATCGATGTTCGAGGATCACTAACGTTATTCTGGAGAAGATCTTCGGGAAAGCGGATGGCATGGAGGGTTTGGGTGTATTTGTGTCCGCAGCGTGGACCCGTTAAGTCCGTTAAATGTCAGGTCCCTTGGGGGTGTCATCTTTTTTCGGATCGGCGGGTACATGCGGAGGCACTTCTTCATTCCTTCATTCCATCGTGTTCCATTGATTATGGGTATTGTTGAGATAGTATAGAGGACTGCCAGACATCGTTGAGGAGGGTGTTGAGAGTAACGCCACAGCGAGATAGATGGTTTAGCGTGACATGTGACAGGGAAGTGTGACTGTACATTGTGTTGACTGTTGGCTTGTTTTTTCGCGCAAGCAGGCAAGACACGACAACCATTGGCGACCTGTCACCACGCCATTCTAGCCCTTGATTCAAGGGCATTACAGGATAACACAAGAGACTTCATTTTTACTACTTTAACGCTTCAACTGGGTCTGTGCGTTATTCTTTTGCCGAGTTTCGTTCCCTGGGAACAGTTCCGCAGCAGTCGTTCCGAGTTACTTTTGAGTCGCAGGACAGGTTTTTTGTTGGTAAGTGAAATCCATTGGTACAATCAAAAGTAAACGCAGGAGCATGCCCGCGCTTTCCGGCCGGTCAATAAAATCTCATCATATCCATTTTCTCGTTTAGCATTTGTTATCACAGATCTTCGACGCTATCTCTCGATCCGAATTCCTCTAACTTGGTCAGAACCTGTTGTAAAACGTAAGCTCCACTTGTCCCCTCTACCGTCCCCCCGTGTTAACTATGTGTTCCCGTATAGCACTAACGTCTGGGTCGGGCGCTAACGACCCTAAACTCGTGCGTCTCTCATGCATGTCCTAGCTGGACACTGTCCTCATCAACATCTAATAACTTAGACGACCTACAATGAACTACCCCCCGCAATTAGCAATGCAACCTAGTTCCACTCAACTAGGTCACAATCAATTCTCCCAACGACCTACCTCCTCCAACATGTCCTTTGGAATGCCCATGAACACCAATCCCGGCATCTCCCAAATGAACGGTGCAAACATGCCCATGAATCCCGGCAACAACATGGGTGTACCTATGAACCCAGCCATGTCGATGAATTCACACAACATGTCCATGAACAACATGCCGATGAACATGAACATGAACAACATCAATCCATCCATCCTCGCCGCTTTTCAGAACCCCCAAAATTCACAGAATGGCATGATGGCCAAATTTCCAAACTACCAGGCCTCTCAGCAGTCCATCCCCCCTTCCACGCCTAATCTTGGTTCTACGCAGGGCCAGGGCCAGTCCATATCGCCCTCGCAGCTCATGTCAGCTTCCCCGTCACAGCTTATGGCTCAACAACTACATTCGCAAGGCTCTAATTTGACGCTCACCCCTGCGCAGCTCCTTCAACAGCAGCAAGGCGGCATGAGCCAAACCTCTATGGGCACCATGCACCCGGGTATGAGTGGAATGGCCGGGATGAACATGGGTGCCGGTGGAATGCAGAATTTGAATATTGGCAACTCCATGCCCAACATCAACGGAGGTGCGATGAACATGCCTACCGGTATGCAGAACATGAGCGCCAACATGGGCATGTCCAACATGATGAGCGGTATGCCAAACCTCAGCAACCCTCAGGTACGCATGCCCATAACGCCTCAGCGTTGGTCGCAGATGTCGCCACAGGATCGTGCCCTCTTCCAGCAGCAACGGCATCAACTTGGCCTAGCTCAACCGTCAAGCGCTCCTAATCAGCAACATCACGAGCGGGGCCCAAGCCTGACGCACGATCGCCCACCGAGCCAACATGGGAGACACGACCGTGCCTCAAGTCAATCGCATGACAGGCAGCCCAGCCAACAGCCGCAGGACATCTCTCAGGTCACCGATCGCCCCTCTTCATCTGCGTCCATTCGTTCCCATCACTCCCATCATAACCTTGATTCTGGCTTGATGCCCCCACCATCCTCTCGACCCGGTACTTCTAGCAGCGGCATGGGTGTTCCGAACGTTAATCCACGGATGAATCAGCAATCCATGAATCTAAACCCGCACCTTAACATGCCGCCCAGTGCCAACATCAATCCTAACATGAACACTAGCAGTAACATCAACCCTCACATGAACCAGGCCTCGAATATCAACCCTGTGATGAACCCAATCCAGGCCCAGCAGAACATGAATTCCGTCATGCACATGAACATGGCTCCGTCGAATATCAACCCCGTGATGAACCAGGTTCAAAATATGAATATGAATCCGCATTTGAATCACCCTCCGACGAGAGCGGATTCTGCGCATGGACTTGCTGCGTCGCCAAAGCAATCACCGAGGATGTCGGGGATGATGAATCTTGCTGGTGGCCCTCCTGGAGGCATGCCCGGTAACATGGGCGGCCAGATCAACCTTGGAATGACAGGGATGCCAAGCGGTGGAATGGGAATGCATGGTGCCCCCATGAGTGGCGCCCCTGGTGGTGGCATGAACATGAGTATGGGCGGCAATATGAACACCGCCATGGGGACAATGGGCAATGCTGGTGTAGGTAGCATGGGGAATGTACCCAGTATGGGCGGCATGGGTAATCTTGGCTCAGTGAACATGAATGCCAACACTATCGGCGGTTTAGGAGCCGGTGGCAGCATGCTAGGCGGAGCGGGGGGAGGTCTTATGGGCCCCCCTGTGATTCCTCAATCCATTCAGCGACCAGAAAGAGATCAGATGGTGCAGAGAGAACGCTCGAGCTCGCTCCATGCACGCGAACAGGTGAGGAGTGCACCTCCGTCCTTCACGCATCGTAAACTGACTCGGCAATCGTTCTTTTACCCGTTATTGCGTTGCCATGCTCCAGAGTATACCTCCGGCGTCTGCTACACCGTTTATGGGTCAGAGTCTTGACAATGCCAGCATCCAGGGATTGGGAAATATGGCTGGTAGCATGGGTGCCATGCCTCGGCAACAATCCCAACCGCCAATCAACACGCATCAGCAATCCCCTGCCCGTCAAATCCCCTCCGGCCACCGTTCCCCCATGCCTCTTGTTCGCAAGGCCGGAGAGATACCCGCCACACCGGCGCTTTCCGGCACCCCAAACCCCGCCGCACCACATCCAGGCGCAGCTGCGGTTCCGAAACTCCCCCCTCATCTTGCAGGGCTCAATCCCGCCGTAACCAAGATCTCGTTGATCCCTTACACCGTACATTCGAAACCCGAAGCAACCACCGATGGCGAAGACGAGAAGGTGCCTGTCGAAGGTGCGACTGATTCCGAAGACGCTGTTACTTCCTCGCAGGTCAAAGTCGAAGATCCAGTAAAATTGCTGACCCCATCGGAGATCACTATGTTGAAGGAAATCATGAAGCGCGATACAACATACGATGCACTACACCGTACCAAACAAGCACGTATGGCCCAGGAATTGCGCACGCATGGTCCTGCGTCGCGAAGTGCCTGGTGGGAACGTGATCATGTTCCGACCATGGGCATGAACCGTAGGCCCGAACGTTTCGATGTGAGATATCCAAGAGCACCCAATGCGGACCGGGGCTCGAATATCAATTCGAGGAAGAAGGGTGTGAGGAGAGAAGGCATTCGGATGTGAGTTTTTGCTGTGTCTTCTTTTGTTTGGGGAGATTGATTGATTCCCGCGGGTTCAATAGCCCCAGGAAACTTCCACCTCAGCTGGCCAACCGCCCTGAGCAACTCGTGCCGATCAGACTTGAGTTCGATGTGGAGCATCATAAGATGCGCGAGACCTTTGTATGGAATCTAAATGGTAAGCCTCTTGCCTAGAGTAGCTTTCGTTGCTGACATCGTTTAGATCCTGTCATCACTCCCGAGCATTTTGCGCAGACGCTCGTCGAGGATTATGCGCTACCCCAGAGTTATCACGGTGTCATCACGAGAGCGATTCAAGAGCAGTTGAGCGACTTCAAGGCTCATATTGCCCGCGTTGACGGCGACTGGAAACCTCCATCCTCAGCGAGGGAGATGGCGCTAACGGACGGCTATAAGGCAGACGAAGAAGACGGGAATGAGGCAGACATGCGGGAGACGGACGCTGACGACATTGCCGACGACTATAATCGCAAGCTTCTTGAAGATGATGACCTGACCATGGTGGACCGGGGTAGTCTTGACGACGAGGACGTGAAATGGTGGGAATCATGGCGCAAGCGATCACGGCAAGAAAGCGCATTTACTCGCAGCATATCCTTGAGGAATCAACGCAAGCGTCGTAAGGTGGCCTCAGTCACGGTCGAGGAAAGTGACGCATTCGAGACCGACAAGGAAATACCACACATTGTGGATGAGATCGAGATCGATGAGAAGACGGTGCATGAGGATTTACGGATCTTGATCAAGGTATTTGATTGATCCTCGCTTGCATTTCTGTGGATTGGTGCTAATCTTTGATCCTAGCTCGACATTATCGTCGGATCTATGAAGCTGGATGATCAGTTTGAATGGGATCTTGAGAATGTGGATGCTTCCCCTGAACAATTCGCGGACGTATATGCGAAAGAGTTGGGCCTTGGTGGGGAATTCAAGTGCGTAGCGTTATGTGTCCATGACTTCGTCACTGATCTCTTCTCTAGAACGGCCATCGCACATTGCATACGGGAACAAGTTCAAATTTATCAAAAATCGCTGTTCCTCGTTGGTCACCCCTCAGATGGTTCTACCGTCCAAGACGATGACCTGCGCATGTCCTTCCTACCCAGTCTTGCATCCGGCGCTAGAGCAATGGATCAAGTACCATCGTTCACACCTTTGCTCAACTATCTCAGCGACGGCGAGATTGAACGTAGTGAGAAGGAGAGGGAGAAAGAGCTCACCAAGCGCAGGAAACGGAATACTCGAGGACGTCGAGGTATTGCCTTGCCAGATCGGGAGCCTAATCGCACGTACCGCACACCTGCCTTGGGTTTCCCAGAGCTGGATGCTGCAACCCTTGCGTTGGCCGCTGCGAACGCGCCAACTACTTCGAGACGTGCTGCGGCTGCCGCCGCTTCTCTCACGATTGCCAACATGGTTGCCTCAGAAAATGGCACAAGCGTCATGCCGCTGCAGCTGCCTCCCCAGCAGATCATATCTACTGCTGTCACTACTGGAAAAGAGAAGAAACCGAAAGGGTTGTTCAAGGCGCCATCGTATCCTTCTTCTGTCCTTCGGCCTCGTGCTCAGGTCACTGCTCCCACACCATCGACAGCGGTTGAATCGACGTCGATGTTGCCTTCATCGTTCCTTGACACTGAAGCACCTGCCTCCTCAGTTAGTGTCCCTGCCCCCGATTCGCGAGCTGTCGCAAAGAAGGCCAAGGAGCTCGAAAGGGAGGCTAAGGAAAAAGAGTTTGTCGACGGACAGCATGCCAATGTGATCAATGGGGTGTGGCACTGCTCTAACTGCGGCTGTCCGGATAGCGTTGCTATCGGACGAAGAAAGGGTCCTTTGGGCGACAAATCGCAATGTGGCACATGCGGTGCGTTGATACTATTGGCTAATTGATAGTATAATTCTTCCTGACGCTTCATCGTTATTCAGGCAAATTCTGGCATCGACACCGCAGACCACGTCCTGTAACATATAACCAAGATCCTGATTACCATTTGAGCCTCAGGCGCGAAACAGAACAGGTTAAAACCGGGGTAAAACGAAAAGGACGAGCGCCGAATTCTCAGGTGGCTGCTGATGGCCAAGATACGCCTAGTCGACAGAAATTAGACCTTTTCGTCGATATCTCTACTCGATTACCTGTACCGGCTTCCGAAGACGACAGAGCCATGTCGCCAGTATCGACTGCGTCTAGTGATACAGAAGCTCCTCTTGCCCAACGCGTCACAAAAGTCAATGGTGCTAATCACGCAGGAGTTGCGTCGTCATCTGGGACCCCTCCTCCGACGAGCAACGGGATTGTACGTCCCAAGTCACCCAGGGAAAGTAGTGATCCACTTCCAAATGGCTCATACGTGAGCGTTTTCCCTCTGAGACCAGGATCTTATTGATGCTGAATGTTAAGTGAACAGGCCCCTCCGCCATGGCTAACCACGGCAATTCGTTCGCTTCAAGAACAATACCCAGATGACAAGTTCGAAGCAATCCTACGTCGAGCTCCCCCGCGTACTGTATTAGAGTGGAGGATGAAATGTCTGGATTGCCCCGGCAAGGTTCGTCCACATCACTAGACTTGGACCAACGCAGACTTATTTGGTTTGCAGTTATATAATTCTGGGCCTGGGGATACGCTGCAGAACTATGAAGTCCATCTCAGAAACCGACAACATCGCTTACGGGTGAACTCCCGCCTGACGCAGGCGCCAGCATCATAACGGACGATTTGCATTGTATTGGCTGGCTCGCGCTATTTTAGTATTTTTCTTTGTGCCATCTGTTGTGCTCATCTGCTATCTGTATAACGTATATACCTTTGCTTGTAATCGCTATTTGATTACGTAACCATGGTCATTAAGCCGCTAACTTAGGGTGCGGGTATGTGCCTCGTCTCATGATCGTCACCGGCCGACTTTGGTTGATGTCGTTCGTACCGGTCAGTCCCGAATCCCGACTCCAAGTCAGCGGCGCTAGAAGTTAGACTTCCAGACCACAAGATCTCGAAGTTCTAATCCTAGAAAATAATTCTGTCCAAAGATATGGCTAGTGCCAGTTGGCCTGAGATTATCAGTCTCCGCCAGTACTAATTGCCAGTCTGGAATTGACTATCATTCTAACTCTTTCAAGTTGTTTCTGACATGACAATAGGTCAAGCTGATGTTCTTTGGCGGCCAGAAGATGACTATAAGGTCAAACCGACACTGGAAGAAGGGGACGTTTATCGACCAGATATCCTTAAGGTCGTAGAAACTGCTATCGATAGTCTCAGTGGCAAGTTACGGGAACTGAGTCTTGATATTCATGGTAAGATCATGTATTTCGCCCACAAGAAACACCGATATACTAGTGAATGTGCAGATCACCCGGAGCTTAGATATGAAGAAAGGTATGCCCGCATCTCGAACCCAAATCGCAACCAATCGGCGGGCAATCAAACTAATTATCGGTCCCTCAGATACGCTCATGATGCATATACCTCCTTCCTAGAGACCCACGGTTTCGAAGTCACGAGGCATCACCTTCTGGAGACTGCATGGGTGGCGACCTACACCCACGGGCTGGGCGGACGCGTTCTAGGGGTGAACTCAGAGATGGATGCGCTCCCGGGCATTGGACATGCGTGTGGACATAATCTTATCGGCATCGCAGGTGTCGCCGTCGCCTGCGCGGCAAAAGCAGCGATGGAACAGCTTAGTATCGACGGGAAGGTGATTCTTCTTGGTACACCTGGTATGTCATTTTCTCCTGATCGTGATGGATAGATCACGATCATCGCATACCCTCAATAGCTGAAGAAGGCGGGATTGGGAAAGTGAAGCTGTGGGAGAGGGGAGCATACAAAGAGATGGACGCGTGTCTTATGTCCGTGACCAGACCTGGCTGATCTCTGTTATTTTCTCGTCGACTTACGTTCATGATAGGTGCCACCCTGGTCCTGGGCCTCTCCACTCCATCAGTTTGAGCAGCTGCCTTGCAGTTATACGTCTGGAGATAGATTACTCAGGTCACACGTGCGGTCTCCCGATGTCCGTCTGGCTTGAACTCTGACTCGTTCCTCATAGTGCGCACGCTGCACTTAGCCCCTGGGAAGGAAAGAATGCGCTGGATGCAGCTGTCCTGGCATATACAAACATCGCTTTACTGCGCCAGCAGATTAAGCCTACGCATCGTGTGCATGGAATTATTCAGGGCCATGATTGGGCACAGAGTAGTAAGTGTCTGTCATTAAGCGCTGGATATACATTTGAGAGCGTGTGCGACAGTCATCCCAGATAACTCAAAGATGTAGTAAGTGTGGGTTGACTCCACAGACTTGACGCAGCTATTGACATGCTCCAGTTATTATATCCGTGCGCCAACCACTGTTGAAGCGGAAGAGACGCTCAAGCGTGTCGTTCCCTGCTTTGAGTGAGTTATTATCCGGTATTCACGTCACCCTAATCCCAGACTTCGCACAGAGCAGCAGCACTTGCAACCGGGACGAAAGTTAAAGTTAACAGAGGACACACTGGGAACGAACTTGTGCAGAATAAAGTCCTCGGTGTGTCTTCTTGATGGCAACCCCGTGATTCATCCTAGAATTCTTCCAGGTGATGAACTGTCTGATGTAGTTAGGAAGAAGTACGGCGTCATTGACTATGAATATGGGATCAGCGGCGCCTCGACCGATTTTGTAAGTGTGCTTGTATAGTATATCTCAAACAAGTTCACTAATTTCACTTTAGGGAATATTTCATATTGTACGTCTTTGTCGTGATGTCTGGCAGACTTTGAGAGCCATTGTCCACCAGTGATGCCTGGCTTACACCCCGGGTTTTGTTCGTACAGTTATCTTTTCTGTCTCTGATGATTACTGACACCCGAACCACGTCACAGCGATACCAACGGTACCGGGAGGCGGTAACCATACTCCAGCATTCACCGACTCGGCACGTTCGCAGGCTGCTCACGATGCATGTCTCGCTGTCTCAAAGGCCCTCGCACATGTTGGCATGCGCGTGATCACAGACGGTAGGATTTTTGCAGCAGGTAAGATGGTGTTTCTGTCTAACTTTCTGGTTGCTACGACACATTTAACTGCAGGTGAAAGATACTTTTGAGGAGCGGAAGAACAGGATGTAACAAATGAAAACAAGGCGCATATAGGCACCAACAATATAACTACATAGCAAGACTTACAAATCCAATTGCGCTTTGACTCTAGACCAAAACTTGCTGGTCGAGTTGCTCACCACTTTTCATGAGCAGGACGCACTGTTTGGAAGAGGGTGAAGACGGGGTAATGGCAAATTGGAGCTACGCTTACGGTCAATTTCCCAAGTCCAGGCTGAACTATCTTGTTCGACGAGGTACAAGTACGACTGAGGGGTGTGGTGAGTTTAAGTGCGTATTGCCGCAAGAATACTCAAACCTTGGCGATAGAATTAGGATCAAGTCGGACATCCTGATCAGCCTCCCAAGAAGGGTTGTTGTGGTGAGATTTGGTGCGGTCAGTGATGATGCCTGTTCCTCATTAGACAATGCTTTGAGGATGCTGACACTATGCTTACCGCCATCGATAATGCTCTGAGCAGCGCGTTTGAACGTTCATAAATACTATTAGTACCAGAAGGTAGGGACTCACATGAGCGACCTAAAAGTCAAGATATCAGTCCACAAGCAATCCCAAGACGATGCAGAAGACACCTACATGTATGTTCTGCTTGGCGAACTCCTTAGCTAAGCTCTGCGACAAAGCCCTTATCCCAAACTTGCTCGCAGAAAATGCAGAGGTCAGGACGTTGCCTCGGATAGAAGCCGTTGCGCCAGTGAAAATAAGGGTGCCCCTTTTACGAGCATTGCCAGCAACTCCGCCCTCATTCGCGGTCTCAAGCTCAAGCTTTGTAAACTCAAGAAGAGCCTCGCGTGAAAAGGCGAAAGCCGCTAAAACGTTGGTGTCGATCGACTCACGGACTTCGTCTTCCGTGATATCAAGGAATGGCTTCCAGACACCGTAGCCCGCGTTGAAGACCGCGACGCGGAGAGGGGATGATGGCCAGTGAGACTTGAGGGCAGCGAACGCTGACTTGATAGATGGGGTGGTGTAGTCATTGAGAGGGAATGCTGCAGCCTGTTCCAAAGGATCTGGTCAACGTGACTGAATAGGAGCGCACATATGGATAGGAGTCAGCACCTCTCCGCCTGCCTGGCTGATCTCTGTAGCGAGTTTATTGAGGTACTCTGGTCCTCGAGAGATAAGAGCGACTCTGTAGCCAGATTTGGCGAAGAGACGGCTGCTGTTTGTTCACACACTATCAGTACAAGTTGGTGAGGAAGGAGGTAGTACTACGTACGCGGTTGCAGCTCCGGTGCCTGTGCAAGACGTCAGGCACGTGTGTTTGGACCCAATGAGAAGGACTTACCGGTGCCATTGCCGATACCGGCGACCACGAACAAGGGGCGGACTGAGGACATCTTTCAAGTTGATAAAGTTATGAGAGGAGAGGAGAGTAATGATGATATCGAACTGGGCGATATCATATTTATAAGCCCTCTCAATGCGCAATCAGTCGTAATCATGATCACAGCGGTCACGATTCGCAATTGTCAGCATCATCGACTCGGATGACTTCATCACTCGTGCGCGTCTCATGATCTGTAATGCCTCTGTCATCACCTTGAAATTCTCCCATGCCTCGGCAGAATCCAAGCTCAAGTCTGAGGAGTGAATGTTTTGCAGGATGCTGCGGGCTTAGTGCTTATCACGGGGTCTGTGCTTCGGATACACTGTTTGCTCACCACCACCTATTCCAAAGAAACAATGCCGCCAAAGCAGAATAATACATTTATGCAGTACTTTATGCATTATGACCCTTCTTATCAATTTGTTACCCCATAATGTACATAGGCCATGCATGCGTTATGTATACAATTACGTGGGATCATCAAAAAGTCGATGCATTGTGAGCATGTCTTCTGCGAGGTGCAATGACACGTAGTGTAACGTCTCGTCCGGGCAAGCAGAAAGCAGAAAGTTTGACTTCGGCTGCTGAATAAGGCTGATTAGAATCGAGTCTGGCTCTGGAACACACTGCTTGCCTGAGCTCCTGCCAAAAGAACGTGTATCCCAGAGTAAGGTGGAGTGAGGATTCTTGCCGGTTTCTGTCGCGGCCAAGCCAGTGCCGGATACGAGAGGTACGAAATGTCGATTTTGTCACGGTGGTCCAATGTGCTGTCAATACCTCTGTAGAAGTTCAGAAACTCGAATTTTGCAGCTAAAAATTATCCCTTGCACGACGCCGGGGAATTCCTGGCCTTTTGCCTCTTGCATAAGAGCGATGTAAAGGTTGCTTTCCACTTAGGCCACATGGCTCCTTAGGGCGACGAGGTTGGCTTTGGGATAATCATGCATCGAATATTAAGCCATCGTTTACTGGTATGCTATCATCAAGTTACGTGTAGGAGTTAGAGTTCAGCCAGCTCAGGGGAGAAACGAACAGTCTGGTTAAGACACGCGCCCAATTAGTTATCACGAAGACGTGTGCCTTGGAAAGAAAACAAGTCTATTTCGAAACTGGTGAATCTAACATGATACCTCAGTGGTGGTGGTCACCAAGTGCAATATGTCCAGCCTTGCTGTTTTGCCAAGCGTAACGACTATTGCCCCACGTGTAGGTTCCATATCCTGTAATCCGATGAGGCGGTTTATGAATGGATGCAACAGGTGACACGTACCGATAGCAAAGGGGACTATCCAGTAGGGAACTTGGGCAGCGAGACGCCTGTAGCCGTTGAATAGCCAGCCTCTAATTATAGCTTTTGAGCCGCGCTGTCTGAATGGCGAGACAGCTACCAGTGCCGAAATAAGGCGAGAGAAAGAAGCCGCATCGTGGTGAGAACACGACGACAATTGACGCGACAGATACGAAGCACGACCCGAAGTTAGTGCCTTGCTTCAAGAGGACAGTGGGATAGATGACGCACTGTAGACAACCACTCCCCTTTGTTTGTGTATGCTGGTGTCACCCCACCAAGGGCACTGTGGAAGAAGAGGTAAGAACAGCAGCATGATGTTTGGGCTGCAAGATGACCCACAAATGATTTAGCTGTAAGCTCGAAATTAGTACAACTGTTCCATAGGAAAAATGGAAAAAAAAAAACATACGTCCAGGCATTCCATCTAGACGTGTAGCAGTGGGACGCATGATGGGCGAAGTAGTACACCGACGTTGGCTGAGTCGCAGGTTGCGGCGTTGGATGTTTAGTACCCGATGTCTTCCGGAACAAACAAGAACAACTAACGCCAGGTTGTGTCACATCACACATATGTGACATGGTTAACTGCTTTATTTTGAAGTGTTTTGACCAACAACGACTACCAAGCCAAAAGTACGTGTCATATGTAATAGCCGTCGACCTCAATATCTGAACCATGATTGACTAGGTCACGCCCACTCCTTTGCTTCCAAAATGATAAGCCACCAGACGCTGTACAACCTGGCGAACTATCTTGGTGCCCTTGCTATGATCACCGTAGTCGCATACCATTTCGTCGCTGTGAACGCAAGATATCTTGCTAAGAACGCCAGCAGTTAAAGTCGCAGAGGGTGTACGAATGGTTGTGAGGATTGCATGTGTAAAGTATGTCGTCGAAGTCCTTTCTAGCTTATGTCCGTCCGCTGATACTTATTTATCCATTCAGTAGCTCTACTTACTGTTTCGTCAATCATACTGCGACCGCTCTCTCCAACCTATATGGTCTTATAGACAGTGAACGACGAAAACAATATGTCCATTGCGCGTCTATGCACCGTGTTGCCCATGCTATATTGACCCCTCTTCACTGATTCACTGCGACCTCCGGGCTCGCATCATAGCCTCGGTTCTGTGAGGCTGATTTTGCATAATCTCCGTTTCGAGATTCTTGTTCTGCTTCTTCTTACAACAATACAAGCAGGGCCCAGGCACCTACAGCAATGTCCAACAGTGAAAAACTACTGGGGTTGGTGTGCACATCACGCACAACAACAGGTTATAAGGCTAAGGATGATATCACATCAGTTGAACATGGATGTATTGTGTGAGTACAGGTTGACGACCTTTCAAACATGCTTAACAAGCGGGGTGACGTCTGGGTATCGATATCGATTTCCAATGAGGTTGCTCATTGGGCATGTATTGAACGTTGGCAACTTGGGGATCCGCTAGGGAATTTGGCGTGGCCAGCTAATTTGTCGCCAATTTCCCGTGATTGCAAGCAGGATCGTTGAATTTCAAACCCTCGATCGAATCTAGGTGTCGACTTGCTTGGGGCCGGTTCGGCTACATAGATAACAGCTGTAAATATGGCGCAGGACTTGGTCAAAATATAATCTTAAGAAGAAAGGGAGAAAGGTTTCGGAAATGTTCGCGCGCTCGCGTGGTTTTCGCGTAGCGCCATGTGGTTTTCGTTTAGATACGCTTAGATACGCTTAGATACGCTTAGATTCGCCTAAGGCCACATGGTTTTCGCTTACCTCGCTTAACCTCGATTTGGAAACTCGCGTGGTTTTCATGTATATTTCGAGCGGCGACTCAAACAACGTCACCCATTGGGAATGTTGCGCGACAACATTGGTAACTGTATGTGTACATGGCATTAAATAATGTGTTTGAGCAGGGGGACAACAGGATTTGAGTGTTTTGCCTACTGCAATTATTAGTAGTGACTGTATATGTACATAAATGGAACAACATATGATACAATTACATACAGGGAGATAACAAATGTGGTGACAGGAGATAAGATTCAAATAAAAAAAGGAGACAAAGACAATGTAGACTCAAAAACCAGAGAATGTGATGACAGGAAAATGGGGAAATGGGAGAACAGGAGACAGGAGATGGGAGACTGAGAGAACAGAGACGGGAGACAGGAGACGGGAGACGGGAGACGGGAGACGGGAGACGGGAGACGGGAGACGGGAGACGGGAGACGGGAGACGGGAGACGGGAGACGGGAGACGGGAGACGGGAGACGGGAGACGGGAGACGGGAGACGGGAGACGGGAGACGGGACGGAGACGGGAGACGGGAGACGGGAGACGGGAGACGGGAGACGGGAGACAGGAGACGGGAGACGGGAGACGGGAGACGGGAGACGGGAGACGGGAGACGGGAGACGGGAGACGGGAGACGGGAGACGGGAGACGGGAGACGGGAGACGGGAGACGGGAGACGGGAGACGGGAGACGGGAGACGGGAGACAGGAGACGGGAGACGGGAGACGGGAGACGGGAGACGGGAGACGGGAGATGGGAAACGGGAGGACATGGGGCACAGTGGGAGATGGGAGGCAGGGAAAAATGGGAAAATAAATACATTCAATGATACTGTTACATATTTTGTATTTTTACATTTGTCAAAATCCTGCTCAAAGAACATAGGGAACAGACTGATCTTATGTACTACAAGAGTACCAATCACCTTCAAACATTGTGTGTCTGTATACTATGTTTGCCATAGTCTTCTCCTCGGCCTCTGTAGGAAATAGTGCCTGAATGTCTCTTTGACATTGCACACTCAATAGTGCAGTGTAAAGCTGACTGTGTGTGAACAAATCTGTATGAAGGCCCAGCACAGGCAGGAAAGTCATGGAAATTGGTTCCACAGGATCAAATGTTTCATCCTTACATATTGTAAATGTACTTTTATGTGGTGTGATAGATTGTACTTTGAGTTTTTTCAAAAAAGCTACTCATAAATGTATTTCAAAAGTGTCCAAAATGTACAATTTATTAGGATGCAGCCTGAAGTCAAAAGAGGGTGCAACCCTCCTTGGCTTCCTGTGACGAAGGAACAATGCTCATCAGGAGCCTTCTGAATTATTGGGATGAAGCTGAGGCCAGGGAGCTTAAAAAGAGCATGAAGCGCTCTTTTTTTGCGACCTGTGCTGAAGGCAGAACGGGTGTGGACTAGTCTTAAGAAGTAAAGTAGAACAGTTTCGGGAACTTTCGCGCGCTCGCGTGGTTTGCGCGTATTTCGCGTATTTCGCCAAAGGCCATGTGGTTTTCGCTTACCTCGCTTAACCTCGATTTGGCAGCTCGCGTGGTTTTGTCACGTGTTTTCGAACGCCGACTCAAATAGCGTCGCCCTTTGGGAACTTAGCACGACCTTGGTAACTGTATGTGTACATGGCATTAAATAATGAAAAAATATGTGTTTGAGCAGGGCAAGGGAGATGTGTGATTAGATTTGAGTGTTTTTCCTACTGTAATTGTTATGGTAGTATACATAGAGCAAATAATGGAACAACATATAATACAATGACAGACAGGGGGAAAACAAATATGAGATAAAAGAGATTGGGAGATGAATGACAGAAGGTTATGAAAAAAAAAAAAAAAAGGGAGAAAAAGATCACTTAGAGACTCAAAAACTGGAAAATGGGAGGACAGGAAAATGGGAATGGGAAACTGGGAGAACCAGAGAACCAGAGGACGGGAGACGGGAGACGGGAGACGGGAGACGGGAGACGGGAGACGGGAGACGGGAGACGGGAGACGGGAGACAGGAGACAGGAGACAGGAGACAGGAGACAGGAGACAGGAGACAGGAGACAGGAGACAGGAGACAGGAGACAGGAGACAGGAGACAGGAGACAGGAGACAGGAGACAGGAGACAGGAGACAGGAGACAGGAGACAGGAGACAGGAGATGGGAGACGGGAGATGGGAGATGGGAGACGGGAGACAGGATTAGCATGGGTATACCCTAGGGTATCTGAGGTGAAACCCTTACCCTTACTTACCAATATACCATCACCCACAGTGTAAGTGTGGGTTTTTGAAGGGTACCAGAGATAGATACCATGGGTATACCTCAGGGTAACACTTTTTCCAATCACATATATTTTACCATTTGAAGGCAAATGTACAACTTCAAAATTTTATATGTATCCATCACTCCTATGGTAATCAATTTGGGGATATATTCCCAGGGGTACAGGGGTCTTCAGGTCCAAATTCCTACCCCTACCCTCAAGGGTTTCCCATACCCCTGCTGATCCCTAGATGGGAGATGGGAAGCAGGGAAAAATGGGAAAATGAATACATTCAATGATACTGTTACATATTTTTTTATTTTATGTTGTGTAGTAGATTGAGTTTTTTTTGAAAAGCTGCTCATAAATGTATTTCAAAATCATTCAAAATGCACAATTTATTAGGATGCAGCCTGAGGCCAGGAAGCCAAAGGAGGGCGTAGCCCTCCTTGGCTTCCTGTGACGAAGGAACAACACTCATTTTCCTCCCCTGAAGGAGCGCATAGCGCTCCTTCGATTTGTGCCGAAGGCACAACGGGCGTGAGCTCGTTACAGCCGTTTGAGAAACTAATGTCATTGGCGATTTTTTTCACGTGCGTGACCAAAAAGGAAATCACTGGAAATCGCAGACACGACGCGTCTTGGATGTCCATGTCAGGACGCGACTTCCTGCAGTTCTACTTAATATCTAAGTCTTTTCAACCATAGTATTGTGTTTATTTCACACCATCGTACAAGTCTTCATCCATGGCAAATAAGAAACAAAGAAGCTCACCATCAAGCTCCGAAAGAAACCAGACTGGATGAGGTCCTCGAATGCCTGGATTCACTCTCATCCACCATCAAAAATGACAAGGTGATATACCTTTCGGAGGCCGAATGGCTGTTCAACGTTCAGTGACGAAGAGAACCAGTCACAAGCCGAAGACAGTGAGGTAGAAGTCAAAGAACTCGGTGTCCATGAAGGCGAACTTGAAGATCATCAATCGGAGGATAGGTCCAACGTGAATGCAGCAATATCCTTTAAATCCCACCCATGGTCCCAGAGTCAAAGAGCGCATTCCTTAATATATTTGCTGATTCTGCGGTTAACCATCGCATATAGGGACAAAGAAAGTTGTTTTCGGTGTTGCCAAAGGCTCAGCCAGTGTCGTTTGAAGGGCTTAAAAATGATTTCCTTTCTTGTCTCGCACACGTGAAAAAAACCGCCAATGACATTACTGTAGTATCTCAAACGGCTGTAAGTTGATCGGTTACCGACTCGTCATGTTGTGAAGTTCGAGTCATTGAAATCTTAAAGGTCGTCATCACAAAACTCCATGCATCAAGATTTCAAGTATCAACTAGCTTGATGGTACAGACATCGAAATAGATTACACCACTGCAACTTGACCAGCCGCTATTTCTTCTTTAAACACCTGTAAACTTGACGAATCATCCTCGTACACCAAGGTGCTGATCTCTCTATGGGGAATATAACCCCGATCAATG